CCCTTTTGTGTAACAATGTGTTCACCACCGTATGTAGCTATAAGGAGAGGACTTATATCGGCAATGTCTGATGTCCAATCCTGTTGACTTCTTTTGTCAATAAAATATACTGAAATTGAAATTGAACTTGACCTTGGATCTTTGACCTTAAAAGCAAATTCATTTCAGACATTTGTGTACTGATCGCTTAAAAAAAGTAAGCTAGTAAAAGAATAGCTATTTTTTATTTAAAGCGATAGCGACATTAACATTTGGTAAACGACCCTTAAATGCAAATGAATTTTAAGTATTTGTTTACCAAACATTCGTACAGGTTTCATCCAAAACATCATATATTTATTGTACAAATGACTCTTACGATGAACCCATTAGTTTGGGAATTTTGACGTCAAATGTTCAAAACAAAATTTATTGCAGATTCTAAAAAAAATAAAAACCTTAAAAATCAGAAGAAAAAAAAATAAAAGAGGTCAAATAAAATATTTCAAGCAAAAGAAATTCTCAAAAAATCCAGTTATATCTTTGATTTAGATTATTAGGTTTTCGGTCCAAAATATTTAAATATCAAAACGCGTTTTTAAATTTCTAATTGTTAAGTCTTACTATGAAAATGGAAAATACCATCTGATGTAGTGTGTATACGCTCCCTATCGATCGGCGAAATGTCTCGGGTCGAGTGACATGAAAAATATACAATTTCGTCACATCGTTGAATAGGTAAATAACACAAATCGCTCACTCAGTCAAAGCTTGACAAAGGGACCAGTTGGTTGAAACATTGCGACACGTTTATTACGTATAATGTTTGCGTAAAAAGTAAAACTTTGACACATATTTCCAAACTAATGGTTTTAACGGAGTGACCTCCCTTTGTCCGCGGCATAAATCAACGCTACTTATATGAGTTTCTGTATTCTGAACTTAAAACGGAATGCGTTTGCATTTTTTTTCTAAATTCACAAATAATGTTTTTTTATTACATATTATTTATTATATTACATACTATTATTGCGTTGTATTTGTTTTAGTTCCATGAATGATTTCCCCCAAGCTATAGGATTCTAATTTAATTACATCTATTGTCCACCCTAAACTCGTATACTCTCTTCCTCACTAACAGTAATAAAGTACATCTTACTCGCTGGACATATTGTGTCATTCTCTTCCACTCTCACTTTTGTGTTGAGTGCTGGTGGTGAGTTAAACATTGTTGTTATTTTTTGTGGTCTGGCCAATCCCTACTTACAAAGACAAAGCCGTATATTGAGATTTTTATCTTATAATGGTATAAATTAATTTGATAATCATAATAATACAAGACACAGGGGGGAAAGGACAGATCTGTGTGTTTGTGTGTGAGATGCAGTTACAAAAATTGTCAACTTAATGCTTTTAAACCTTTTTATGTTGTGATAAGTTTGGAATAGAAGGTCTGCGTCATCCTATAGAGGAGTATCGCGATTAGGGTCTAGGAAAAAACCACAATTTGAAAGAAAAGATAAAAAAATCTATTCCTTGGTTTTAAAAATAATAACAAAATCTCCATCATAAAAATGACAAGCAAGCAAGAAACATACACGGAATATATACACGGAATAAATCATTAGTAATAGTACAATGGTGGGTAGACTTGAACACACATCTTCAGGGAATTAATCATTTTGAAGACCACACTGTTTTGATTATTGTTGCTAAAGGGTCTTAAATATATCGGCTTTCAACATTCAAATACGTTGGTAAAACGCGTGATACATATAAAACATTCGTATAAAATACTGATGAAGATCAGGTATTTTTTTAGATAATAATCAAGTATATTCCATAACTTTATTATAGAGGGAATAATACAAATGTTGAATAAATCTAATCTACAGACAGGCTTTTAATAGCTATCTAGGTTAAAGAGATCGTGATGATGATCATTTCCATTTCAAGAAAGAAAACCTTAAAGATAATCTGGAACCAATCTATCGTGAATATAATAGACAGTAGAAACTTTATACATTTCTTTCTGAGAATGAATAGTTACCCATCAGGTTCGAGGTAAGGTGACTCTCAAGAGACTACAGAGGAAAAACACCAAGACCAACAAAAAAGACCAGCCATAAATATGGCGACTTCTAACTGCATCCTTTCCAAGGCATTTGACAGCTCATCAAAACAGCCATCCCAACTACACATAATATGCATATTCAAGAATTGGTCTAATGAAGGATGATTTACAAGTCCTTGCGAAGGAAAATATAGAATAAAATAATAAATCTGTTAGATCTATACATCTAATACTTAATGTTTCTTTATTACTTTAGAAAGTTGAAATCTAAAATGAAAACAAAACACAAGTCCGTATTTCCTGCCATTGATTTCTAAACCAAACTAAACGATCGACATGATTGGTAATATGTAGTTTGGCTGCAGACAAAGTATCTAATAACTAAATATCTGTCTACAAACACTATAACAATGCCTGCGTGTAGAAAGAACGAGGCTTGCTAGATAACCAGGGAAACCCTACCAATACATTTTCCCAATTTTCCGAAAAATTAAATATACTTGCAAATCACATTTTTGTATAGCAATCTTTCCGCATACCCACTTATGATAAGGATACGGTTCTGCCCCGTTTGAGACGCAACTTAATAGCGAAATAGGTAAGTAATTCACAGAAAAGTTACATTCGCATTTTTTTAAAAGAAAAATAAAACGTGTGCTTTCTTCCATTCAACAGGAAAAAAGAAAATTCACGGATTGAACAATTAACAACATCGCAAAGGGAAAAGAAAATGTTCTTGCCATATATCTGGTTCGACTTCTTATCATATACTGTGAAATCGTGGGGTCCAGTAGTTTATAGTCAGAAAAACAGAGACATTACTTACGATACTCGTAACGATACGTATAACGAAGGTATATTTGGTCCCCCGGCGAGGCATTTTCAAAAGAACATAAAACTTTCGAACAACTTTCTAATATACACCCCTCCCTGTGGTTTGCTGTGAATAACGACCATGTATATGTAGCCCCTCCTTGTGGTGGGCTGGGAACAAAGACCATGGTTCTGATGCCCACTACCTGCGGTTTGCTATGCATAACGACCATGATTTTGATGCCCTCTCCCTGTCGTTTGTTGTGAATAACGACAATGATTATGATGTATACTCCCTGTGATGTGCTGAACATAACGACAATGATTCTGATGCCCACTACCTGTGGTTTGCTGTGGAAAACGACCATGATTCTGATGCCCCTTCCTGTGGTTTGCTGTTGATAACGACAATGATTCTGAGGCCCACTACCTGTGGTTTGCTGATGATAACGACAATGATTCTGCTGCCCACTACCTGTGGTTTGCTGTTTATCACGACAATGATTCTGATGCCCCTACCTGTGGTTTGCTGTTGATAACGACAATGATTCTGATGCCCCTTCCTGTGGTTTGCTGTGGATAACGACCATGATTCTGATTCCTACTTCCTGTGGTGTGCTGAAAATAACGACCATGATTCTGATGCCGGCTCTATGTCGCTTGCTGTGAATAGCGAACATGATTCTAATGCCCCCTACCTGTGGTTTGCTGTGAATAGCGCACATGATTCTGATGTCCCTCCCTGTGGTGTGATGTGAATAACGACCATGGTTATGATGCCCCCTCCCTGTTTTGTGCTGTATAAAACGACGATGATTCTGATGCCCCCTCTCTGTAGTGTGCTGTGAATAATGGCCATGGTTCGGATGCCCCCTCCATGTAGTGTGCTCGAAATAACGACTACGTTTCTGACCCTCCCCCCCCCCCCCCCCCTTCTTTTGGTGTGGTCGGAATAACAACCATGATTCTGATCCACCTCCCTGATGTAATGATGCCCTCCCGTTTGTGTGCTTGGAAAACGACCTGGATTCTGATGTCGCCTCCCCGTCGTGTGCTTTGAATAACGAACGATTTTGACGTCATCTCCCTGCTGTGTGATTTGCTGTGAATAGCAAACAAGATTATACTGGGAACATGTTTTGCCGTCAGTCTACGGCTGGTGAACGTATACAGTGTTAATTCATGACAGTTTTAATGATTAAAATAAATATATGGAATCGCTTTTTACTTTGCAATTTCTGTAAATGTTAATGTCCTGTTTGTGTGCATTAGCACCTACAATGTATATATTTGTACATTAGCACCAACAATGTATATATTTGTACATTAGCACCTACAATGTATATATTTGTACTTTTACTAGTGAATTATAAAAGCTTTTATACTAATCAACACAACGTTAGCACACAAGGACAAAATATGAGGTCAAATATCGATACAAAATGTTCTACATCGTCAGAACACAAGAAATCATCTTAGATCAAAGTTGATACAAAATGAACCATATTGCCAGCATGAATGGACAAAGACTGAGGACAAAATTGATACAAAATGTACTGCATTGCGAGCACACAAGGACAGAATCCAAGATCAAAGTTGATACAAAACGAACCATATTGCCAGCATGAATGGACAAAGACTGAGGACAAAATTAATACAAAATTTACTGCATTGCGAGCGCACAAGGACAGAATCCAAGATCAAAGTTGATACAAAATGAACCATATTGCCAGCAAGAAAGGACAAAGACTGAGGACAAAATTGATATAAATATACCACATGGCCAGCACACAAAGACAAAATCTTCATTTAAAAGTCGATACAATCGACAGCTGTGATAACTAAGAGACACTTAAACAACAAAAGAACATCCAAATTAGATATTAAGATGTGTTGGGGAGATATTAGATAGATAACAGATATCATTACATAAATATACAATCATTGATATCGCATTCCATAGATTTATTCCCTCAAGATATAGCAATACTTGTTAAGATAGATTTACAATAGATGACAAAAAATGGATAAATATGTTACAATTTCAAATACTTGCAACTCTGGGTGTTACACAAGATACCAGCAAAAGATACAAAATATAACACAATACTTCTTTAATTTTGTTTATTTCACAAGTTTATTTTACACATAAAAATATAACACATTCTCGTACTTTCACATCCACACATCAAAACAAAAGCAGTATTGAATGAGGGTACACAGGCAAAAAAATAGCAATATGTAACTACAAGGGCTTGGAAGCAAGGTGAACTTGTATAAAGCAAAAATAGGATGAAAAACGTGTTATCGGGAAGCGAAGTGTCTGTTGAAGCTAATCTGATGACCGATAATACGACTGGGTTGGACCAGACGTGTTCTTCTACCAAAGGAAGATCCACGTGTCGCCAAATCAATAAATGTCATCATGGTTCTGATGTACCGTGAAGATGTATGGCATGTCTGGTGCTTTGCCTTCTAATTCTCTCGCCTACACACTTAATCTAGCGCGTCAGTCAGGTACGGCCTTCACCTTAAACAGAAGCTGAAATCGATAACGTGCTGGTTATAGACCGCTTTTCACGAACACGAGAAATGAAGCTAAATGAGATTCGTCATCACATGTTGTCACTGAAATGGCCATATTATCACCTTTATTTTTGCAAATCTTGAGATACAATGTCGCGAAAATACACAATGTTGTAAACAGCAAGGACTGAAATTAGAAAGAGAAAACATAATGGTATAAATATATAGTAATAATGATATTGTAAAAGCCTCACGAGGTCTTAAATTATTCGGGTTTAAATTTTGCGCATCACCGTTCATAGTCCTTTAGACTTTGCAAGTAGATGTATTTCCGGACCCACAGGAAAACAGAAGAACAACAGCGTCAAAACACACCAAATAGTCTCATGAGAAAGAAAGAATGTGAACGAAATGACATAAACGAAGAGATTTGATATTTTAAAAAATGAAATATCTTCAAAAACAATTTAATTTAAAATATGATATTGGTCGTATATTTCCTTTACAATCTCAAAAACCAAAATCCGGATGAAGTGAAATAGACATTAAGTGTCATTAAACATTTAATAAAATATCATCAATCAACCTTGAATAAATTTTGTGAGCTCATCAGATGGGGGTTTACTCGACAACATCATACTACCAGCAGTGATATTCCCTCTGCTTGATGCATACCAAAAATAAGTCTTGATTTTCCAAATGATCACAACTGCCTGCTGACTATTTGATTTTGTTTAACTTCATTCACAAACAGAATTAATCACTAGGAATACGGAAAAAGAACCTCCCATACTCGATACTCCAAGGGTTGGTTTAAACTTTCTTTTATTCAATTTTTTGCAATTCATTGAAGTACAAATTGTACATTATGTAGAATGGAAAAGAAAGCAAAAACAAGTGTCATCACACCTATGTAAATTCGTTACCTGTTCATAATCAATTTGATCAACACTAGCTACAGGAATGAAGTGATAGGAACAAATACGGGAATAAGGAAGGGGGTAACTCCAAGGGTTACGCTCACTTTTGCTTTCTGCACCCCTGGAATATGTCATAGCAAATCTGAAGGCACGCGGCTGGCTATTTGATTGGTCTCAGGTAAATAAAACCCTAACCGATTGCTAGGCTGATACCTGTCCTTTGAAGATTACAGGGGAGCGACACCTGATTTCAAAGCCAGTCATGTTTACTGTAACGCGACCGAGAGTTTCTTTTCTTTTATATCAAAGGATAAAACTAGTCTTCTCTTCTCATCCACACTGAGTCTTCGATTTTGTAATGGCATATTCTAGGAGTACAGGGAGCTTTGTGAGCTTCACCCCTGGAATATCACGGATGATTTCAGGGGTACAGAGAGCGAAAGTGAGCGTAACCCCTGAAGTATTGCACAATGAGCCTTCAATTTTGTCATGGCATATTGCAGGGGTGCAAGTAGCAAAATAGATTGTAACACAGTAACACCCGGAGTGTCGAGGATTAGAAGCACCTATAGATATTGACAAATTTACTTTGTCGATACAGAGAGGCATACAAAACTGTTGTATTGACCATTTCGTCCATTTTAGACTTAGCAATGATACGAAAGGTCAAAAGGATAGAAAACCATGTCTACAGTTTACATAAAACATGCATGGCAATACAGCGAAAGGGGAGGGGTGCCTATAAAACACGTATAACGCTAAGTAGCTCGACCCAGACAACAGATAATTTATTCCGAAACTACTTTCTCTTCTTAACCACGCTAGAATAAATTCCAAACACAAGATTATGGCCGAGGACTGTCAAAGTCTTCGTCAAACACTTGCTAAAATTATAGAATCACGCTCGGGGTGTAGTTGTAATGCGATTTAATGTATGAAGTCAAAATAAGTCAATTTATTATTTTAAAGGGAAACAGAAATAAGGATTGTAAATTAAGATAAATAAAATGTTATGAAATATGAAAGTAACACACACACATGTAAGTGATAATAGAAACAGTATTATGCCGAAAAAGAATAACACTGCAGCATGAAAAGATTCTTGTAACACAACCAATAAGTGTTAATGTGTGACGTTTCGATGACTGGTATGGTATGCACTCTGTCACCTTCATCAGACAAATGACCAGTGAAGCGTATGTACACAAAGATGGGTCGGTTTATGGACAACTCGTACACATTTTACACCTCTGTGTACATTCGCTTCTTTAATCATTTGTCTGGTGAAGATGACAGAGTACTTACCGTATTAGTCATCGAAACCTCAAATAGAAACACTTATTGGTTGTGTTACAATTATTTTTTCGTAATCCATACTTACCAGTATGGAGATTTGTTTTTTAAATACACTGCATCATACAGCTATTTCTTCATTCTATGATTCATCGAAGACGCAAGGGTCCAAAACGTTGGGCTCCCCCTGCAAAAGAGACATTATAACCATGTTAGACGGCAACAAGCGAACGTCGAATCGATAGTAACACGATAACACGTGACATTCGGGTTCTCCTCTTCAAAATTTTAAAATGAAATGTTTTCAAAAATCTTAACTCATGCAATCAATGGCTTTATAACATAAAGTGAGCAAGTTGGTGGTTATGATTTAGCACGCTTCTAATGGAGTGGATTTTGCAATTGACATTCTCATTATTATTCTAGTGTTTGGCATGGTCTTTCTATTAGATCTTTATTAAATATTCGCCCTATATATCTATATTACGAACGGTTACCTAATGTTATACAATAAGCTCCAGGATTGGACATACTTCATTATGGAGGGTTACCAAGAGTATTCAAATAAGCATTTCTCCTGTACAACTCAACGATTGGACAGACGACAAAATGAACGGTTACCTAACGTTATACAATAAGCTCCAGGATTGGACATACTTCATCATGGAGGGTTACCAAGAGTATTCAAATAAGCATTTCTCCTGTACAACTCAACGATTGGACAGACGACATTATGGACGATTACCTAATGTTATACAATAAGCATTTGTCATGTACAACTCAACGATTGGACAGACGACATAATAAACGGTTACCTAATGTTTGTTATACAATAAGCGTTTATCCTGTAAAGCTCCAGAATTGGACAGACGACATTATGGACGGTTCCAAAATGTAATGCAATGATCGTTTATTCGCTAGTTTGTTTATATTTTTGCTATAATTGCGTTGATTTTGAGCTCGAAATATTGGATAGAAAAATTACATATTATATAACAATTAAAAATTGATATTACTGGACTTGGCTGTTTTTGTGGCTTTATGGAGCATCTAAAAAAAGAGGTCACGGAATTCATTGGATGGGGAAATCATGTACAAAGGCTTGATGTTTATTATTTTACCTTAAATTGTTAAAAATGTTTCTTAACGAAAAAAACTATCGGGTACAGAAAAAGGGGGGAATTCGAGCCTCTTCAGGGATTCGTCAGGGATGAAAGTGTTTGCTCCTTTCATTGATTTATTTACAAAGACCTTTTTATCATTTTAATTATATAAAATATACGTTGAAATATATTTTTTAATCAATAGATGCAATGTCCAAAGAATGAATAGAAATAAAATTCTATTTTTTCGTTTAAATTTATGTTCTTTTCAGATAATGTTGTTAATGTATGCGACTACAGAGGCACATTTATATATATACGCCCGTGTTGCCGGAATTGTCTGGGAACGATAAAATGGTCTGAAAATAGGACAATGCCATTCACTTTGGTATGGTGTCAACTCATCTTTCTAGGTAAATTATATTTATATATATATATAATGACTTAATAGTATTAATTGACCCTAAAGGATTTACTTATTATTGTTAATTGTCCTAATAGGGCTGATTAATGAGTGTCACTGACGATACAGTGACATACGCCAGGAAGTTGTCCCATTACTAATGAAACTAATCTAAACGTTGGCGTCTCTATCAAAAGCAGTATTTCTTAGAAATCACATAACGTCATGCATTTACAGAAATACAGCTGTTTGAAATTTGACTGATTAATTTGAAATAGAAAAGAGAAAAGTTAGAAGCAAAATACTAGATCGAATTAAGGACCTAAACATTGCAAACCCTATGCTTTACCAATGCTGTCATTCAGGAATTATACCACAGCATGGAAATAAGTGTAAAACGTACCATTGTGTATGACACCGGCCTGTTTTCACAACATTTTTTATCAAACGTGCCCAGGCAATTCGGGCAGCACATACTATGTATAGTTTATGAACATTTTACCTGAAGGGCAAATAAACAAAATGCGCTACTACAGTCACACAAATTAATTACATTACAATGCATACATATATTGATAGTAGAAATATACAGCCCTATATATAAATCTATAAATATTAATATGAAATTATATTAGTTATTATTGAATCAACAATTGTTATAAGCAATAAAAAACAGTTGCTACAAATAATGGCCATTCGGTAAGACATAAACTAGACACCAGCGCAGACGAGTGTACATAAACTAACACCATTCAGAGCTGGAACCCCCATGACAAGCCGACCAACACCCGTAATAACAAATACACTTAGCAACAATCTAACAAAATGTTTGGTATCTAAAGTGTATCACTGAAGTATTTGACAATCATCTAGAAAAGTTTGAAAATTCAATGTTATTCATTCTTTGGTTATTTCAATCATTGATTAAAATATCTAAAAGGCTCATATTCAATGTATGTTTCATATAATTAACAAAATAAAAGGTCTTTGTGATAGTAAATAAACAAAAATGAGCAAAACATCATCCCTGACGAGTCCCTGAAGTGGCCAAAGCGATAGAGAGCTGCTCGAATATTTTTTTGTTTTTCTTTACTTGATAGTTATTTTATCATGTATTACGAAACAGTTTTACCACTTTAAGTTAAAACAAACATCCCGCCTTTGTACATTATTTACCCATCCATTTAATTCCGTGACCTCAAGTATTAGATTTATGTATAATAAAGTCACAAACAAACAAAAAATAGCTTAAACCATCTTATATCAAGTTTTGATTGTTACATAATAAATTTCTTTTCTATCTACAGTAATTCGAGTTCAAAATCAACGAAACTGTGGTAAAAGTATAAACAAGGCAGCGATTTACTTGGAGATGCTTGAAAAAGTACTCGGAAAAAAACCTGTTTCTGTAGGTTAAGCCTCTTCTGTTTCTCCTAATACTTTCTCGCTGCCAAATTGAATTCGAGCTATTGTTTCATGGGTTTGGATTGCCTTTGGACCAGGTAATTGGGAAAATAATCAAGATGATGATATATGTAAGGTCTAAAATAAAACGCACAAAAATATACCACAGCGTTAAAAACAAGAAGTAGTATTCGAAGACTATAAGAAGAATGGAAGAGACATCAAAGCAAACAAAACACATCTTGATATCTTAAATGCAGGCGAATCCATGTACTCTGGGTAAGTATTTTCTGTACCATAAGTGGCATCAGTTCTGGTGTCTCCTGTAAAAAAAATCAACCTGCTAATTCAGAAACTGAATATCTATTTAATCACGACAGAAAAATATCACATAATTAGACTATGACATCACGTGGTCAAGATACCATCACATTTCTTCAGTGTAGACAGAACCCTCCCTGTGGACCTCGTCTAACAGTCACCATTATCTCAACAGTCTATCAGCCACGCCCTGTTCGTAAACAGCGTACACTGAATAATGTGTAACTAAGTACCTGCGTTACCTCGTAACATAAATCGACCCGGTAAACAAGGAGCCTGTCCTCCCTTCCTAGCGTATTACAACTGGACGTTTCTCACTTGAGGATGTCATTATTGTTATCTTCTTTCCACGACCAATCAATAATATCCAACGTGTTCTACCCTACCAATAATTGGACTCGTCTTAATTGAAAGGACATGTGTGTATATATTTGTATAATATTTAAGACCTTCACATTGGGAGAAACTGTTATCAGCACGGCAAATCTGGTGTTTATCTACAATTATATGTCTCTTGTCGCACAGTATATGCATGTGCATGATGACGTCTGCTGACAACGACCTGACTGGATAGGAGTAGGAAGCTATTATAAAAAGCTCCACCCATGGAGCCTGCGGGTCCGAATGGGACTTATCGAATGACGGGGATTTGTCAGATGGCCCATAAACAAATTTGATGCGACCGAGTGACGTAAATAGGGTATCTAACCTATGAATGGCTCCTTCGTCAATAGAGACATATTGTGGAAGGTCAAGGACTTTTTTCCCCGCCACATGTTCTATATAAAGAACAAACTCAACTCCGGCAACGAAGAGGCCCCTGACAGGAAATCGATAAGAGAAGAAAGTATTTGCAGCATACTTGAAACAAAATAAACAAATGATGTGCATAATTTTGGTATACCATAATACAGATTTTGGAAAACAAATATATTGAGTATCGAAAAATAATGACAAAAGAAGTTACGATTGTGGGAAACGTATCCAGTATATACAAGAAACTACATATGAATATGGAACTTGTTCAAATTAACAAAAAAGGCAACAACAACAAAACCCACAATGCATACACTTTAGAATAACGCCCCAACGACTGGTCAAGTATTGCATTTTTAATGACCAATCGATATAGTCTAACAGTAGATCCACGACCCGACAGTCTCAAGATCATCTGACTCAGCGCCTTTATTCGATCATTTCATACAGGGTCTACCATGTCACAAGTCTTGGCACGTGAATTATAATGTCACACCGATTGGATTATCAGACACAGTCGTCGGCACATCTTGCATGATCCCATTCAGAGACCAAGGTTATTCGGTCGAATGACGTCACGCTGTCTAAGTCTAATTATACGAAACGCACTGAAAATAATCTTTCGCGCCCGGATCAAGGGCCAATTGAGTCGGAATTTATAGTTGTTTTCGTTGGAATACCAATGAGAGGCAGCCAAGTCGTGGACACGATTGTGAACTTCTTATAGTCTTTATCAGAAAACACACCGTGTATATCGTAGTAATATATACACAACGAAACCAAGCATTATCTGAGGGCAATAACATTGTGTGAAATCGGGTTATCTTTACGTGTATGTCCCAACTATTGACTTGTTAAACAGACTTTATGACTTTGAAATATTAGTGCAGTGTCATATATTACTCAATATTCAAGTCAGAGACTGATATAAAGGTCCTGAGTACGTGCATAACCTTAATAGCTCTTTTATATGTCGGTTAAGTCTGATATACAATGTACATTGGCGTCTATATAGGAGATACAGAGCTATAAACGAGACAATAGCGTGAGTGTTGGTTGTGTGTGTTTAGTGTATACGTGTATAGTCATTGATTAAACACTCAAAGGGCATAAAGGGTACATAGGTCACAAACAAAGGAACTCACAGCAATAGTATAAGCATGACAAGCTTAACCCTTTCACCACTGTAGACCTTAAAGTGGACGTATCCAGATCAATGTATGGTAGGGTTAACGAACGTAACAAAGGGATGAAAGGGTTAATGTGAGGTTTGACATAAGATATTAAATAGAGTACGATTTGTTTTAAGAAAGATAAATAGTTTGTGATCAAGAGATATAAAACAATCACCTGTATTCAAACTTTATATGGAATACTTGTTTATCTTAATAAGTTTAAGATAAGATTAATATATATATCTATAAAATAACAGAACAATATGTCACTGTATGAACACACAAGGACAGAATCGGGATCGAAGAAACACAGAAAAAAACGTGTGTTTACTAAAACGAACACATGTTTTACCAACTGGACAAATAAACAACCTTTGTAATGTAAAACGAGGTAGTTTGTGACCTCTAGACAAGACAAGGTCAGCCGAGAGCCCAAACAGGTGTTAAAACAGTGTTAGACTTATATATGTGCTTTTGATGTGTATTGATGCACGTAGGACATTTGGTGATAGTACGTACAGCATAGTTAAATGAATTACACTGCATCATAGGACTCATTGGTAATGCTAGGGCCAAACAGGTGATGCTAGGTCAAACAGATGATGCTAGGGCCAAACAGGTGATGCTAGGGCCAAACAGGTGATACTAGGGCCAAGCATGTGATGCTAGGGCCAAACAGGTGATGCTAGGGCCAAACAGGTGATGCTAGGGCCAAACAGGAGATACTAGGGCCAAACAGGTGATGCTAGGACCAAACAGGTGCAAATCCTAATCGTCCTAAACCTCTGCTTAAGCAGGAGGGGGGATGGAGTTAAACCTCTTTATTTTATGAATTTAAAAATTTAGAGTTGTATTGGTACATAATACCTATATATAAATTGGGAATCTCAAATCTTTTTTATCCATTTTTGAAGAAAAAGAATATAGAATACATATATTAAGTTAAGGTTATATGCTACCTGTATGCAATTGCGCCTCTCTACAAAAGGATTTTTAGTATTCCGAAATAGTATTTTGATAATGATAATTTAGACATGGTTCATTAATTGATGCCACGAAAAAGTACGCAAGGATGAATGGTCACTGGTTGGTGTTAATTGACAAAAATAAAATCAGCCAAGGGTGATAACTAACACAATAGGTTTGGAGGTAAATATGTATGTCAAATAATACAGAAATACATTGAAATATAAAGTAAAAACAGAAAAATGCACATTGTAATACACGGACTACAAAAAAGGGGCATAACTCCACAAATTATGGTCGGATAATGGCGGTTATCGAACTTGTCCGAGCTTTCATGGTAATTAACCTTGTTGTGAAGTTTGAAGTTAATCTGTTAATAATTACAAGAGATATCGAGCGGACATCGTTTGCCCGCCCGCCCGCCCGCCCGCTTGATAACATAATACGTCCCCGTCTTCGACGGGCGTATAAAAAGGCAAAATTATAGAAATACACAAAAACGTTGAAATACTCAACGGTATTGCAACACACAAATCTAATGGATGCCCAAACAAATAGATACAATAAACATATTGAAATACTCCAAGTTATTGAAATACTCAAAGATATTGGATAACTCAAAAACAATGGTTTCCTAAACAAATTAAAACAAATATATGAATCTGAATACACAAGCATTGACAGACTGAAAACAAATTGAAACAATTAACAACGTTACCTTTATCTTTGAGTATTTCAATGTTAAAACACAAACATTGAAATACTCAAACATAATGGTCACCCAAACATTTCTTTTAAAATAGCCATGTTGTAAATTACACAAACACATGAAAAGAAAGCAAACATGAAACCATGTACGTAAATACAACTCGCATAAAGTAATCACTATAAAATACCCAATAAGGAAGCACTTGTTTATAATCTTAGTAAGGGGATGCAGAAATCTAAATAATGTCAACACTGCACCATTAGTACTCAACCGTAGTACTAAACTAATAAGGACGGAAATACGTGTCAATAGTTTTCCGGAGAAGAAATGCAACAGGAATATGTCTATAAAACAACCTCGTTATACAGATATAAAAGTTATCGAAATTTAGTCCAAAAGCGGTCCTGGGGTCAACAGTCATGACAAATATTAAGAAAACAAGCAAAGAATTGTTGAAACAAAATAAGAACAAAGAATATAGTTCCAAGAAGACCTTGAACAAGTGCAAGGGGAATAAGGCCAGGTGTTCCGGGAGGGTAAGCGTCTTCTGGTTCTCGAACTAACCATGTAGATCTAAGGTCGAATCAAAAAGGTATATTGGTTATCAACAATCATTATTTGTGACTTACATTTCCAACAAACTTCCAGTATATGTACACTGTAAAAAAAACTCGTTGCGGACCCAACCGCAAAAATAAAAAATGTACGTCAACTGGAACCCGTGGTTTATTAAACAATATTTTATTTTATTCGTTAATATAATAATTACACAAGTAAATAGGAATATGATCCGGCAGCAAGATTTTAAATCTTATACAAAACCATCTCCCTTGAAATGTACAAGTCCTAAAAACTGGTAGTTGTTATTCCCTGCTTAACGTTCAGCATCTAGGGGAATGGCAAATACTGGTTAACCTGTTGGCATTATAATGTGACCTGGCGGACTGCTGTGCTGGGTGCATTCGGCATGGTATTTCAGTGAGATAGCACTATAAAGTCGGCATCAGATTCGCGCTATCACAATGAGGCAAGCACTCCAACATACCCTGTCTCATGCATACACACACTCGCAAGTACGCTCACACCACACACATGGAGGCACGTCCTTAATTGACCTTAGCTGATATTAGAACGTTAAACAACATTAAACAAAACTAACCCAAACATTAAAACAGTACTTTAAAATACAGTTAATTGATACAATGTTTAAATTAACAGTTTGTGATAACACTGACCAGTTTATGTGATGAACAATAAAAACATACGTATGTATGATAGTAGAAAGGAAACAGTAATGAAGAGAGCATGAAAAGATCCCAACTGTCACCTAGAATCTACCCGACTCTAAGTGTACCTTTGTACCTTATCAAATATAAGTATGTCATCATCTCGAGACAAATTTGGGTCACCATAAATTAACCGTTCAGGGTTCTAATAAATATGTAAAGTACTTATGGTGTTCATTCTATCTTGGTTAAAGAGCCTACACTGCATCAAATGATGGGAAGGAGTTTCCACCTGTCCACATCTACATAGATCTGTGTTTGAAACATGATTATTATAGAGATGATAATTTAGGGAGTTACATCCAAGACAAAGTCGAAGTCGTGATTAGGTTGGTTCTATCGTCAGTAATGTGTACGTCTACTGGAACACATGGTTAGGTTAGTTCTATATTAAGTTCTAGTTCATGGTCGAGAATTATTTGCCGCTTTGTGTTCAGATTTTCTGTCCTCGTGTGTTTACGATTTTTTTTTTAAATTATTC